CCTCAATCTTGGCATCAAAATTTACTCTAGGTTTATTTCTAACACTTGTGTTCTGTCCACTTCTTCTGACTAAGTGTGTTACTTTAGAAACAGGATATACAGGGGGGAAAAAAGAAGCTTGTGTGAATATATTCTATAGATACAGAGTTTAAGGTATGTGCATGTAAGCATGATGCTGCACAAAGACTGTGTTTCATGAGGCTGTGTAGGTAGACTACAGTGGTGCTACTTTTACCTTTTTTCAGCAAATTAGCTTTGCATAATGGAGAACAGATTTATTCTTTGACTTGAAAGTTGAGAACAATACTGCATTATAGCATTACTTTTTTTTAAAGTTCAGCAGATAAAAATGTTTTATTTATTACATTGCAGAGGTGATACAAAGAAGCAGAAAAGATAGTGTTAATAACTGTTCTTTAGTTGTGTCACATGAGTATTTGGAAATGCTGGGCAGGCTGGTGTCAGGTGGGCACTGGTTTTCTGAAGGGCTCTTGGTGGCCTCCAGGAGCCCACAGACCTGCTGTAGGCATCTGGGCTCACCAGGACTGTGCGGGTTCCTTCCCCTGGCAGTGCTGATGTTAAGTTTAGTCTTGGCTTCAGTGAGGGGAAAGTGTCAACCTGGGATTTCGTTCTCATCTATGCAGGTTCCTAATTGCTGGGCCAGTCACATGCTGGACGTCGCATGGTTTCTGCCCACCTTACATAATGTGTATTCACTTGCATCATGTAAAATGAAACTTTGATTCAGGGAACTGAGAGCCTTTTATTTTTGGTCAACTTGCTTAAAACCTGATTAGAAGAAGGAAGGGGTACAAATTCCAGGCCCTGCAAAAATGAAATGAAAGTTAATTTTACAGTAACAAACTCCCAGCTGTATTCTGCCACTGCTGGGCTGTTTAGTTAAAAAGGAGGTACTAGTGTCATGTCCTCATCCTCGGGCAGGAAAGAGAGAGCATGTGTATGTGTGCACACGCACATGCACATGTTGGTTAGTGAAAGCAGTAAGTGAGTTTTAGATCATTCCCTCTGAAGTGCTCATCTTAGAGCAAGTCAGAGTTAAAAGATGACTTCTTTTTTTTGCTAATGAAAATATTGTGGAGTTGCTAGAAAGGAAAAAACAAAAAAAAGCCTTAGCTTTTGAAAACGTTTTATATAAACTTTGCAATAAATTGCTTGTCATGCTGTCTTAAATTTCTAAGACCTCTTGGATCTATGAGGGAACTTAGACTAGAGTGAAAGTTGAGTGTTTTAAGAGGTCATACCAGTTATCAGTGTTGTGCCTGCTCAATGCCTATTGCAGGCACATGCTGATGCTACACTAAACAGAATGGGGGGGAGAGTGTTTTACTTCTGTGCATGGGGGAATTATGTAGCGCTGAATGGAGCTGTATAGCGTGGAAAACACTGATGGCGTCAGCTGCTTCCCTAACAAATGTAGTGCACTTCAGGAAGTGTTGCTTCAGTGGCCACTTTTTTTTTTGATCCTTTTGTTCAGGCATCTTGCAGGTGGGTGCAAACAAACTGTTGGGACAAACATATAAATGAATGAATGTGTAGGTGCCACAACTGTGCTAACAAGGCTGTAACAGCTCCTAGGCTAAGGGTGAGGTGGTCACCACTCTGGAGAGGGTTCCTGGACCACTGTGGTGGCCAGCAGGCATCAGTGCTCAATGGGAAAACACCAGGCACACCAACGGAAACTTCCGTGGTGGAGAAGCTGCTGAAGGCACTTGGGAGCTGGAGCCTTGCCCCTTCTCAAGGATACGGACATCACCTGGCTCACTGAATAAGGTGTAGTTTCTAGTACAAGCAATCATCTTCCTTTGTATACTAACCCATAGATAAGTTTTATGTGTTACAATTACAGTACAGTCTTCCAGCATTTATTGTAACTATTTAATAATAACTAATGCAGTCATCTTTAGTACAAGACCTGGAGCCGATATTTCCACTTCCCAAGTGCTCTACAGCAGGGTGCTGTTTCAGCCTTCTCTCCTGATTAATTTTGAATTATTTTCTGCACAGTCACTTCTAGAAGTCAGGTGTACAAAATGTACCAGATTGCAGGACCAGGTTCTTAGAGGCTCACAGAGAGCAACCAAGCTGGTGGCAGGGGTGGAAGGCATGTCCTCTGAGGAGGGGCTGAGGATGCTGGGTTTGTTGAGAGAGAAGGAGGCTGAGGGGGTGACCTCATTGCTCTCTGCAGCTTCCTGAGGAGGGGACGTGCTGATCTCTTCTCCCTGGGAACCAGGGACAAGGTGCCTGGGAATGGTTCAAAGGTTGACATTAGAGGAGGTTCAGACTTGACATTAGAAAACATTTATTTACAGAGAGGGTGGTCAAACACTGGAACAGGCTTCCTGGAGAGGTCTGTCAGTGTTTAAGAGGCATTTGGACAATGCCCTTAATACCATGCTTTAACTTTTGGTCAGCCCTGAAGTGGTGTAGGTCCCTTCTAACTCTACTCTAGAAGCAGATAGTTGAAGACCTTATATTCTTGACTGTTTTCTTATCTCCCTCTCCTGATACAGTCTTTAACTGAAAGACAAGATGCTCTCCTAGGGCTGCATTTTATGCCATTGGATGCACGTATGACAGATGAAGTAGGACACATGATGGTGCTATTTATCTTTACAGCACAGAAAATTTAAAATGCCACAGGTTACAGAACAGATTTAATGTCTTTGACAAGAATGACATTAACAACTTGCAGTTTAACACTATTTCTTAAAGAAAAACAAAGCTTTTTTTAGTAAGGATTTAAAAGCATTTTATTGATTGTTGTCCTATAAAATCATGAAAGTCTTTAATTCCTGAAGAACCGTGTCTGACAATAGGAAAAATGAAAAATGTCTTTAAAAAACATTACAGCATTTTTGGAAAAACTAGGTATGAAAAATATATACAATGTATTAAAAAAATCTGAATAACATTAATCTCTGGATTTTTACATTCAGTTATGTGTTAAACATCTGCCTGTGTACAATAGAATTTGTTAAAATATTAGCAGTATTTTTACTATGTTAAATAAGTCTTTGCTCAATTTACAATTTATCTCATTACTATTTTATCAGTCCACTTATAAATTAATTTACAAGGCTGTATAACCACTGCCAGACTGTCAAGGTAAGTATTTTTGTACAAAATTATTGCCTTCCTAATATATTTTAAATTGTTACAGAGATACATATTTATAAACATCCAATTCATTCACAAATCGAATCAACATATTACAATATATAAAACAATATACAGCCCCTTTGAAAAAAGACAGGGAATGCAACAAGAAGAAAGCCTTTGTACTACAAGTTTTTCCCTCATTTTTGCTGAACATGTATCTACCCTGCTGAGTTATCAGCTGGTCCTTAAAAAGGTGAAGATTTTTATACAAACTGTCACGCCTATATACAGAAAAGATGCACTGAAATTTATTTCATTTTTGAGTGCATTTTGTTCACACAACATTAAGTGGTGGTTTTCCTGTGAAATTCCAAAGCTAAACTGCAGCTGCAAAAATTTAGCAGGTGTTGTGTGTAGTGCAATTGTGAGAAGTCTTCTCTAAAGCAGAGAAGAGCATGGGTGAAGCAGCACCAATGTGAGCTCCTCTGAAAGCAAGTACTATTTTATCTCCAAGTACTATTTTATCACTCTCTCTCCCTCCCTCTTCTCTCTGCCTGAGGCATGAAGTGACATCAAGTCACACTGTAGTAGGGGAAGGCAGAGATAACAAAATACCAAGTTACTCAGGGTCCTGAGCTATCCACTTCCAAGTCTTTCCTCAGTGGGGGTCTTGCCATTTACATACACTGGAGAGGAGACGACCTGGCACCTTAACAAAACTCTACAGCTCTTCTCCCTCTTTTTTTCACTTGTGGATTCAACATGATGCTAACAAATGCTAAAGATGTAGGTAAACTGAAGTTCAGTTGAACTTTTTGCCTCCACATAAGAAGATAATGTCCTCTAGTACAGAAAAGCAGAAAGAATAAAAGACAAAAAAACCAAAACAACCCCCCCAAACCTAGAACAAACTATTTCATGTTTTGTGCGGTCCCCATCAAAACCCTTGCTCTGAAGCAACAGCTTAATATGAAGACCTAGATAAACACATGGGGAAAACTGAAACAAAATGGACACATTTCCAGCAGTTAGACTCCTTTAAAATACCTGTGCTAAAATGGATCTGAGAACAAGATAACCAGTATTATATATTTTGCAGAGTTCAGTACCTCTTTCTTGCTTTCAGAAATCCTTTCACCAGGAGAAAAAAAGTCTGAGCTGCCTGAACAAGCAATGCACTGTATTAGAGACCACCATCACTAGAGGCACTTGTCTCGATTCTTCCCTGGAGCTTGTGTCAGCTTTGCCAACATTGATTAGAGTGATCTAATTACTTCTGACAAAGCCTGGGACGTCCTTGGATTTGTGCTGGAGAGGTAGTCCTTTATGAATTACAGGGTTGGTTACTGTAGTTCAGGTTACACACAGATTTTGACACAACGGGGAAGTATCCCATTAACATACTCTGGTACTGAGAATGTAACACTGCATTTCCTTAGGAGCCGGAAACCCCCAGTATTGCTATTCACCGCCAGCTCAACGGATTGGGTGAGTTTCTGGTGGTCTGCTACACAGAGAAAGTGCTTCTGAAAGAAAGTAAAAAATGCTCAAAACCGGATGGAGAAAGAATACTTAAAAGAGGCAGGGATGGAGGAACTAAAGTTGAAACTGAAATTTGAGTCAGAGAGATGCATGGCTGATCTCCAGTGCCTGAGGAACTACATCTAGTTGAAATCTGCTACTGGGCAAGCCCAGCTTTCAATTCAGAGCTCTCAAAACGCAAAACACAAAAAGGGATCCGAAACACCAGTGCTCTGTTACTAGATTTTTTGATTGCTGACCTACATCTTCCATGCGAGAGCTGTAGGGCATGCAACCATGCCCTCACTGACAGCAGTTAGTGCAAATCCTGTAGTATAGTATGAAGAAGCAAGAACAGTCTACACGTTGGTTTCAAGTCCAAGTAAGCGTCCCATCCGTTCCATGTTCTTGTCAATCGTGGCACGACACGTGATTTCTTTAGCACACTCCATAGGAAACCAACCTCTTTCACCATCCCGCAATCGTTCCCCTTCATACCAACCTGCAAGGGTGAACAGACAAGGAGTAACAAATCTTTTCAAGTAACGTTAAAGATACTTTGTCAGAACTGTCTGTGTTGCACTTGACAGAGTCACACACAATTTACCTTTGTAGTGAATAAAACGCCAGATTAAGATAGATTCAGCAGATTTTTTTTTTGTACGGACAGACTAGGAACACAATAGTATGTAAAAATAAACATCATATGAAACAAGTGTTGTTACACATTTTTTATATTGTAATTCAAATACATTGTTTGAAAATGTAAAGAATATAATATAATTACTATCTAAATAGAGCAATGTAGCACAATTGATAGGATCTTTGATTTCATACATAATCTTGAATAACAACATTAAGTTAGGACTTAGTACTGCAGGTGCTGACAGCTTCAAGCATCACCGAGTCAGCACATCATAAGATATTAGTAGAATCACTTGCACATCCAGGCAAGAATCAATTTTGATCTCTGGGTACTTGACGCTATGGAAAACTTGGGGAAAACCACTGTGCTAGACCCCTATACTTAGGCAGTGAAGCACTGTTAGCATTAGTATGGCTAATAATGTGCATGTTTCTCTTACTCAGACAAACCTAGTGCTCATTCACTAAAATGTCTGAGCTCCATGTTTTTAGGTAGAATGCAATTTCTTATTTGTGGACATTTCACATGTCAAAACCAACCAGCATATACTTTCTGCAGCTATTTACCTATTTAAATTACGGTAGGCGATGAGTTCCTTTGAACATCTGTTGCCTAAACAGAGGCTGTCCTTTAGAAACCTGAACTGAAATGCGCAAGTTTTTGTTGGAGGCTGCACCTTTATTCATTGTACGGCCAATGCTATTAGGAAACATTTTTCTAGGTGGATTCACCTGCAGTGGTGACAGATGGTTACTAACAGCAAAATCCTCACTCACCATCATTTACTTTTTGATAAACCAAAACAACATCAGCAACTTGAAGAGACAGTTCATCTGACTGCTTTGCTGTGTAAGTTCTGATGATCTCTACCTGAGTCAAAGCTGTGGAAGAGATGAGCCAGGCTGAGTTAAACAATTCACATAACAGAGTATCTTTTATTAAAATATATATATACAATTAATTTTAAAAATTTCCATCTCGGAGTATACTCCCCCAAAAAAACCCAAAGGAGGCAGCAAATTATGCAAATGGCTTCCTACTTGAGCAATTACACAAAAGCAAACTTGGTATAAACATACAAGGGAAGGGGCTTTGCACTTCTGCTAACAGATTGAAACAACTGACCAAACCAGCATTAATGAATGCAAACGGAAATTACTGTGCAAAACAGAACTCCTCAGAGAAGCCTCTGGGCACAGGAAGAGATGGCAACTGCACATACGCTAAAGAAACAGAGCCCAGGAAAAGAAATGGACAACATTTCTAAGGGTATTTATAGTCTGCACTTGCTCACATCCCCGTTAAGGGGCAGTGCGTTTCTATTCTCATGTCAAAGCTCTCAGAAATCTTGTTAATTGTAACTTACTTGTCCTGTCCGTTTTCTGCCCGTCTCTGTCCTGTCCAAGTGCTGTAATCCAGCGAGCTCTGTCGCTCCTGCAAATGGCAAAGACAAAACTCAGTCTCCCAACTTGTGTTCTTCATAATGGTCAAGACTGACCCTTTTCAAGATTCTCTATTTATGAATTTTTTCCTCTTTTGGGTAAAGAAAACAAAACAAAACCTCCTTTCTCCTCCCCTCAAAATATGGCCAGAAGGTGTGATACTACTTCTAGTAGTAATCTACTACTACTGTAATATATTATTCAAACATATTTAACTATTTTAAGCATGTTGGATTAGAAAAAAAAGCCTATATATGTGGGACCTACTGGCGTGATGTCTTATATATCTTTATTTTCATTATTTTTAAGTAATGCAGGTAAAGTCTGCTAGTGTCTGTGACTAATACTTATTAGAAATCTTATTTTAAAAAAAAATCCATCTAATGTACAAAGCATCTGATAATGCAATACAGCAGTTTTAATATACAATACCGAGCTTCCTGTGAGTAAGAACTACTTGCAACATGCACTTAGAATGAAAAGAAAGAATGGAAAAAGAAAAAGAGAAAAAAAAAAAGAGCCCAAAGTTTCTCTGTGCTCTCAGAAGGATACATTTATGTTTCCAGATGTGCCTCCATTGGGTCCTAAACTAGTCATTTGCATCTCACCTTGTATAACCTAGGAAAAACATAATCAATCTCTGATTACGTGTGTCAGGATTTCTGAGGAGAGCAGAAAGAATTATCTACGTTCTAAGTGTTACACAACAAATCACAGAAGAGCAAATTACTGACACCTGATTTTGGAAGGGAGTGGAACAAGCTAAAGTGAGGTCAGACAGTAAAGGAAAAAGAAAGCTAATCCTAAATCACTCCTGTTAACGGCTGAGCTATAACAACTTAATCATTATAACTTTGAATTTTGGAAAATCAAAATTTGAACTTGATTGCCAGAACAAACATTTCAGTGAAATTAGATTTTATCTCATGTTTGTTGAAGGGCTTTGCTATCAGTACAGATTAGAATAATCAAAGGAGTTGCAAGGTTGAATTTTCCTATTCCCCCTCCCCTAAAAAAATCCTGTTGCTATCTTTAGGTAACTTCAGTTTTTAACTAAAAATAATGAAAAATATCTGCCTTCTGCTGAGATCTGATTTTGTCAAAAATCTGAAAATAGAATAAAATTCTATTTGGAAATAGCACTATGGTGTTTCCAGAAGTGTCAGAAAATGGGACATTTACACAAGTTATGAGAGACTTCTCTAGAGTACATCTTCCAAGATGCACCATCGCTCAGCAACTGAGGAGACGATTCAGCAAGGGGTTATAGTTAGTCTGTGACGTCCAGCCTGAAGACCAGAGGGAGGGCGGGAATAACTTGAACATCCCACTACGCATCGCTCCATGATAAGGTTCATCAGTCTCTTCCAAGAACACTGACACCTTCTCACGGCCTTTCTTCCAGCTAGCTCTAGAAATCTCTTTTCTGTTCACAGAAAGTCTATCGACACCTCCTTTGGATGAAGGGATTCAGAATGGAAGTCTTTCTGAGCATGCTTCTTTCAGAATGAAAAAAATATCCCTGATTATCTTGAATATGAATATTTTTACTGTTTTTTTGGCATTTAGTAAGAAACTGTGATTATGTTTTTTTAAATCCCAGCACACATTCTTCCTCAAAGATGAAACGTCCTACTAACATTTGGTACCTGTTGATCTCATACAGATGGCCAAAACTACAATGCATGCTCCTTTAGACATTTCAGTCATTAAAATGCGGGTGATAGTAAACTTGTTGTGTTTCAACCAAAATAAGAACGTCTGTATACAATTTTGCATGAGCTTAACTTCGTGGCTTTTTTTTTTTTTTTAAAAACAGGTGTTATCTGGACTCATATTTTCCTTTCCCTGTAATCATTCTTAACAGGAAAACTACATTTCCTTTCAGACAACTCTGAGGAAAATGGGATAATGCCAGACTGTCTCCCAGTTTAAGTATATATTTCTTCATAATCTGTGTGTACTGTATATTTTGTGCCTTATTCACAGGGCAATGTAACATTCCTGACCTAATGCTGGTCCTTTTGTACTTGGGAACCACACACCACATGAAGTGACAAAACATGATCAAACTGTGCTAGAAATCTTCGTGTCAGCAAAAACTTTTAAGTTTTACATGTGCAAAACTCTGTTCAGTAGGCACTCTAAACCATCCAGCTTGGCCCTCCTACTGTAGATTCCCTTCTCATCCTTTTCAAAGTTAAGAGAAAGTTACGTTCTTCTGTACCTGACAATACTCTATAAAAATAAGTAATTTTCAAATAAAGTACTTCTTTTCAGAATCTTTTCCTCTGAATGACAATCTGCTAGACTGCCATTTATATTACAAACAGTATAGAGCAAATCAATAATAAACCCACAAACAAAATGTCTTTTCATAAAAAGCCCAGACAACTAAAAATGTACTGCATTTTTTCCCAATAAAAATGCATTTCCAAACAAGTCTGAATCATCTGCTTACTTTATAATGAGATCTTTAATAGAAATCATTAATGATCTATAGTTTCTTTCAGGGTTATTCTAAACTTTGAAAGCAAACCTAAAACTGTAAATTTTTCCAGGCTGGGATACGTCTGGAGCAGTCTGTTTCACGTCTTCTACCCCGCCTCCAGCTTCCACTAAAACAGATAAAATCTTTCATTTTTGTGAAGGGTTGTGTGGAAGTTAATGGCACCACAGAAAAATGATGGCCTCTCGGATATTTGCACCCGAAAGAACAAGACACTTCTTGTTGCTCGTTTCTAAAGCAGAACACTCTTCAAAACTGCATCAGGAGAACAAGGACCACCTCTATCCCAGTAAAGCTCCACAGCTTCCCCAAGGCAGTGCCAAACTCCTCCTCCCTTTTAATCCAGTACTGTTTCCACTTCTGCACTATCCAACCATTATAATAAATAATTCACAAATCACTGCTCCAGGACAAGAGCGTTCTGCATTCATACCCTAACAACATTTGCCTGCTACCACCGTAATGCCTTAGGATGCACCTGTGCTGATTTCCTCCTGCTAAGACGGTGCTCTACATACGGACAACATGGTATCAATGCTACATTGCTAAAAGAAGTGACAGTTAGGGTAAGATACTTTAAAACAATAAGGAACAAACCAGTCCAGAAAAGTATCAGAGACAGAGCAAGCTTAAATGAATCTCTGCTGTCAGATTATTCAAGGTCTTCTTATCAAGGTAAGCATAGAGAAAGCCTTCCTTAGCTACAACAGTAAAAGCAGTATTTTCCTTACGGTAAGCTGCATTACACTTAGATTCGCACGCTCAACTACTCAGCGTGCACAGCAGCACTACCTTGACTGGGGCGGGGGTCAGCCTGTTGAGATAGTCAGGTGAAAAATTACAGAAACGGTAACTATTTACTTACTGAGTCTCTGTTCCCAGGAGCATCTCCACCTTCTCTCCTGCGTGGTTACTGAGGACCGCCAGCCTGAAGAGGTGAGCCGCAGAATTCTGCCGTGAGTAGAGCATCGTTGAAGCATTCTTTACAGGAGAAGAAGTCAGGTCCTCGCTGTCACATTGTTGTACCACCAGCTGGTCCCGTAAAGAATAATCTGTGACGTTGTAACTCTCTTCACTGCAAAACAAAGGCAGGAAGAAAAAAACCCACAAGTTTAATGTTTACTTTTCCATTAAGTATGTCTGGAAGCAAACTGAGTCATAGAATCCACTTTTAACTACACAGTGTGGCACGATTCTTCTGACACCTCAGATCTTCATCTTTTCTGTTTTTTTGTTTTGAAACTACCAATTTTCCAATATATAAAGTAGATCAGTCTTTAAACCCTGCGGAATTTCATTTAGTGGCACAGTTAAATGACTTTCAGGCATTCTTGAGACGGTGTAAGCTCAACTTAACTCCACTAAATTTGAAACAGGCACAGCAATTATACAGAATTGCACTTTTTTCTTCTGTAGCTTCAAATGAACAACAGACCTTAATTTTAGAATGGTATAGGAAAGAAAGTAAAATTTCCTTTTTCCTTTGCCTGTAAAACTATGGGTATGTATACTGCTTCCAGATAAACACCACTGATCTTCATTTTAAATACAGGATAATCGTCTGTACTCCTCAGCCACCTGCATGTAGAAGGCCTAGTCCAAAAACTGTATTACAATATTCTGAAACATAACCTTAGTCAGTTGTGAATTTTAAAAATGGGCAAAGGCTTGTCACACACTGTTGGTCTGGCAAAATGCACTGTGCAATTTACCTTTTAGAAAGTACTTTGTAAATAAATATAGCAACTCTAAGTGATATGAATAAAGATTGCTACATGTGCTTAGTAACTTCCCAAAAGTAACTAGAAAGAATTCTAAGAAATCTGCAAGTTAGAAGCTTTGCTTTCCTTATGGTTGAAATGTAGGTGGAGAGGTGGACAACACTCATCTTCAATAACACAATACCGTTTGACAGAGAAAACGGAAGACCTCAGAACTACTTCTTATGTCAAAGTCATTGAATGTTGAATTATACCAAAATGACGTTACAGTAGTTTTCCCAGAGAGGTGAGAACGTGCAAACATTAGACATCACAAATCAGAACATAAAAATGCTACTGATTTTAACAACAGAAGGACTTAAATGAAAATATGCACTCCTCCCTGAGCAGCAGACTTTTATTCCTAAATGTGAGAATCACTTCAGCTAATCAAGATCTACTTGACAGGTAAAGATGGGGCAAAGGAGGACGCATGTCTGGACAAGGCACGCTGTTACATACGGCAGTGCTAGGTGGTAGGAGCGAACAGTTACTTCAGCCCCCCTATTCTTCAATCCATTACGACAACTTACGACACGTGCTTCAACTTCAGAATACCCAGACATCTTAAGCAGCATTCTTCAGCACTCTTACCTGAGTTCAACCACTTATCCTATCTAATGTTTTTGCTACTTACTCATGTTAAGGCAATACTGGAAACATGATTTTTTTCAAGTGGAAAATAACTGCATCTCCAAATTTTTAAAGTCGTGAAACATAAAGAAACAGTTAAAAGAATCTACATCACTTACTTAAGAAATAGCAATTGATCACAAGAAAAGAGAAGCGGCTGAAAAGGCCTTTTTGTTTCCACTGAAGCTTGTGAGCGTATTTCCCAGAATTGTCTTACATGCATTTGCAAGTTTACCAGGATATACCATCAACCCAGGACGCTGATAAACTAATTACCTCATAATTTCATATAAGCTTGTAAACTTTTTTCAGATTTATTGTCCTACACTGGTGCAACAAGAAAAGATGGAAAAAAACCTGCTTACACAGGCATAAAACCCGTTCTCCCTCCTAGGCCATACATTGCTGTGTTTGTAAAGTTTTCAGTAAACCAAATACATCAAATTTGAAGCTGCAACTATACAAACTCCACCTTAAAGCAGAATCTATTTAGACCTCAGTCTCAAGTGATGAAAAGCTATGCTAGAGCCTCATATTACTATGGTTCATTAAAATAATTTAAATTGAAAAAATACTTGAGAAGATTAATTTTGCTGCCAGAGATATACAGGAACCTAAGCACTGAACTGATACAAATCAAATCCCAAACACCTGGAATTGAAGCAGTCTGAAATGCTGACAGTGACATACCCCTTTCTGGCAGGTGCAAATGAAGCATATTCTTCCTTTATGGTTGCTCAACTATTGTAGGAAAATGGACAGATGATGACTTGATGTCTGTTGGGATATATTCTACCCACTTTGTGAACTGTCAGAAATACCTGCAAATACCTCAGTAGTTAATGGTCTTTGTAATCCTTATTTTTAATCCTTCAGAAAAAGAATTGCTAAAACACAACTGAGCAACATTATGACTCAAAACACAAGTTATTGCCGATTTCTGTGACTCATGCAGCATTGGAAGAATTTCTCTATTCTTCAAGTGATGACAGGCTTACAGATCATATTGTATTTGTGGATTTTTGTGGATTAATAGTCTCTGCCAGGGCATCTAGTGTAAAAACAAAGTTCTTATTTCAACTATGTGGGGTACGTTTTTACTTTTGTTCTGTGAATTAAATACTTGAAATGGGTTTTTTTCAGTACAGCTTTGTACATTCTCAAACGATCTACATAGTTCCATTAGTATCATATTCTAATTCTTCTCACAAGTATTTTTTCTTCTCATCTTTTGTTGAGGAGTTTGAGGGCTTTACAAAGGAAGCAGAGGCAACGACAGACAAGCTCAGTGAGATTTATCATATAGAAGGACTGAAATAACTGTAGCTCATAGAAGATTAACACTTTCCCTCCCCGTTTCTTTTTCTCCAAGTCTCAAAATGGTACCAACAATTCCCCACAATCCGCTGGTGTTTTCCACTCTTAGGGCTGGAATCACAACTCCCCATTCAGGTACCATTGACAAAGGCACAAAACATACAAAACTTGCAAGAGCCCTGTTGCAAGAACTTAAAATGGCTTTAAAAACTATCCACACAGTTTTGATTAACCTAGTTTTTGATCAGACTGTTGTTTCCATGTTCCTTAGAGTAAAAAAATTAAAAAATAAATCACATAGGAAATGAGATGGACACAGCAAGCTCTTTTAGAGCTCTGTAAAAATGAAGCCAGGTTAATTATGCTATTACACCTGACTTCTTGGGTCCCAAAGTAGAAAGAATACAGATTACAAATAGGTTTTGGTCTAATTAAAGGAATTTAACATGAGCACACTGACAAACTGGGAGAATCTTCAATATTTCAGCATGTGGAAAGCTAAGTTTTAATTTCTGTGCATATAACCCAGGGATGCTAAAATGAATCTTAATTCAAATGTATTCTGTATTCCTTATCTTTTGGGAAAGGCGTGCACACAGCTCTTCCCTGAGATACAACAAATTTAAATTTACTGTGATTGTCCTACTGTAGAAAAGCGTTAAGTCTTTATGCTTTATGCTCTCTCTCATTAAAGAAAGAGAGGCCGTGAGAGGGGAGGGAGTAGAGACTGTGGATTTAGGTCTCACGTTCCCCTAAATCCAGGTCTAGATTCAAATTAATTCATTTAGCTACAAGAAGATGGCTACTTATCACTTGAGGACAATTGTTTCAAGTGCCATCCGTAGTAGCTGAGGGTTCCTACTGAAGAAGAAAAAACAAAAAAAATCATTTTATATCTAGTATTTATCAGTCTCTCTCTCTCCCTCTTTCTTTTTTCTTAAAATATATACTCTAAAACAGGGAAAGGTTGGTTTGTTTGGTGTGGCGTTTTTGGGGGGTTTTGTTGGGGTTTTTTGTTTGTTTGTTTTAAAGAAGTCAGTTCAGTATTTTAGTCTAGGCAATCCCTGCTTAGCCAAGGGCAGAACTAGCAAAACCAGCTAGGGATGCTGCTATAGTTATTTGGGAATCTTGCACCTGAAAAAGAAATGTAGTCTATACATTTGCATAACTAATAATAAATGCATTCCTTACTAATTAATCAACAGAGATAAACCTCTACAAATCCTTCCTATTTCTTATCTCCATTCAACAACATAGTCCGATTTGAAACTACTAGGCAGTCCTCCTCTTTTTGCCTCCTGTGCCCTGTGAGGCCCACAAACTCTCCTCCTTCCGAACGGATAATGAAATATGCTGATAAAGCTGACAGTGCTGGAGGGAGCAGATGTACATAAACGGAAATGTAATCCGCTCAGCCAGGCAGCAGAGTAACAGGAAGGACATTTAACACATTCTATAAAATTACTGTAATCGGGTGATACAAAAATGCCAACATTCCTTTTCAGTTTACAACTAACTTTTTGCTAAACTTTTATTTAGATTCAGAACATCAAACAACATGTTTCATATCCCTTCGCAGGGAATACACACAAATTTTAGAGGCACTTTTATGAAGACCAACTATCTATTGATGTAATATCATCTGTTCTAGGCCACCTGTACTTTAACAGAAAGCACATGGTCAGTCTCCCTATTTCCTTTACTCTTTCCAGCTGCGCTACTCTGGAATCCTGGGTGTTCCATAGAAGTTACTTTGCATTTGTCCTTGCCTTTAGTTACAAAATCACCCCCGACATGAGAAAAACCATGGTTTTGCAGGCAGCTGTGAACAGGTACCATTCCCAAGTAGCAGTGAACCTTTGGGTGATTTCCAGTGTATGAAGTCCAGCTGTATTCCACTGTCAAGGTATCGCAGGAGCTGACAAGCCACAGAGCCATTAAGACAGACAGGATTCTAGTGGTATCCTTAGGGGATTATGGAAACAGAATATTCAATAAATGTACACTCATTCAAAAACATAAGCCTCTCTGGAGTTCACCTAAAATCTTCTAAAGGCACTCAGGATGTAACTAGTGGATTTTCTGAATAGCTGGGTAAGGCAGCTATTTAGCTGTATATAACACAACTTTATTAATTCAGGAGTTCTCCTGAACTCTGCAGAACACAGAGCTAGCTCATAGGCAGCTTTGAGCGTTAATAACTGAAATACGTAACTAGATCCTCGTGGTCCCAGGAGGGCATGTGGAATAAAAGGAGGCATTTGACTTTTGGTAGAGTTCAAAGCTAGCTGTATCCTATTTTTAGCAGGATATTGTTACAGCGTACGCTTCCAAGGCTGCAAAAGGTATCGGAGAAATCACCTCCTCTGTAGCCTGGTCCTCTCTTCTCAGGCAGTTGTAAAGTGCTCACTACAGAAACTCAACAGACAAATATCTATCTAAACCCAACAGTTATGCTCATCAGCTGTGCAGGAAAGGTATGGACAATACTTATTACTTGTGGTTTAAAAGAGGGAGGAAACTGAAAACTCATTATGAAGGAAATACACACAAACATAAAAGTAGTATGTGTATTTAAACTAATTATTCTATATTTTAATAAAGCACTAATGTCATCATACTTTGTGGAACCTGGAATAGTTTCTTCACTAGCCCAAGAGAAAGCAAATCTCCCAGGCACGACAGGGTAGTTTGGACAAGCTGAATTAAGCTTCTAGTGAGAACTGCTCTCCAAAGGGACCGGACCTGCCTTCTCCACAGGTAACCCTGGAAGAGTACTTAACGGCACCTAAAGTTGAGCAGGCCAAACATCACCCAGCTCTTCACTTCATGCCGTAATCCAACCGACATCCATGTTCACGTGAACAAAAATTAACTGATACTAATTAATTCCTGTGTACCAACCATGTAAAAGTTGGACTTTCCACCACAATTTGGACATCCTGACTCACGCAGCACTGACTATTCTTTTCAAGGTAATGCATTAAAACGTCACAAGTATTAAGATAGTCTGTGGTTTTTCAGAGCCTAAATGATTACCAAGGTATATGTAACACACACAAAAATGGACTGTCTAGTAGCTGACATGGAAAGCATAAACCTCTGAAATATTTCATAGTGGCATGAGATATAGCCACAGAGCGTCCATTAAAAAGGAAGATATTTTGGTAACTAAATTCTATTTAACCTACTTAATGGATGAGAGAAGACAGTTAAACCTTGCAATTTCAATCAGGAGGTGAAATTGTAGCTGAGGAAGATTATGATGAATAAAGTATCATTAAAACATAAGAACTCTGGAGCGTGCCTGAGTATACACCAACACAAGACCTCCCTTTATCTTTTTTATAGCTGAAATGTTCTCATTATAAAAAGGTTTCTGGAACGCTTGCTCTCTCAGTATTTAAAATGCAGTTCTTCCAACGACGATTCTGATATTTGGAAAGCGTCCCTGAAATGAGGGTGTGAGCAGTGACGTACAGTGACGCCATATCCGGTTGGACTAGAACTACTTAGCAGTTACCAGCATGACTTCTCTGACAGGTACCATCAAGCCTGGCCTTTAAGAAGTCGTGATTGAGCCGCTCCCGGCTGCGTGCGCGAGGTTCTACATATATGGCAAACTGCTCAGATGGGACAGCTGAAGATTAACTTTTGGGTAAGGATTAAACAGCATGATTGGAGCACTAAGTAATTAGTATTTTTAGCACAGTAGTGAGGAGTGATTTTTTTGTGCAATGTTAAGAATCTTGCGAAATGCAACTGCTCAAGAAAAAATACAAACATTTAAACTCAACTAGCAACAAATATTTCTGTCCACTGCTGTGGTGCCCATGGTAACACTGTGGGTGGGAGAACAGATCACCAAAAGCTCAGATGTTATTAATAAGCTTATTCGCTTGGGCAAAGTATGTGCTTCATGCTCGAGTATCTGGGAGGCTCGCAGCAATCCGACCTTTTCAATTACATCCCTTTGTTCCGGGGGTCTTGGGAGAGTGGCTATATGAATCTGATCATTAACATGAAGTGTTCTTTAATTTTGGCTTCTGGGCCCACTTAGGACATTTCAATTCCAACAGCTGGAAGCTGTTATAAATCAAAAGTCCCAAAGTTTTTATAAGAACATGTTCTTATAAAAATCTGGTTTATAATCTGAACAAGCCATCACATAGGAAACCAATAAACAATGTAACAACATAGATAGTAGATTTTTCACTGTTCTCCCAACTCAAACATTTACTTAGCTACCAACACAATAATATGCTAACAGTAGTCCCGTGAGAAAAGAAATGCACTGTTTAAAAAAGTGTGATACAACTCTGTGATGTGCTGCCAGTGACCCAGTGATTTAACAAGGGACTTTCACAGAAACATTTCAGCATAAGCTCTGATAAACACTGAATCTCAGAAACACGCTCACATCAGTAAGACAGCTGCGGAGAAATCTATTCACTTTTCTTCCCATCTTTATAAAAAAAACCTTTCACTTAAATATTTTTCCCCTCCAATTTCATTTAGCTTTCTCTTTGCTTAAGTATTAGCATTTTCTTCCCAGATTTTGTATCATACTTCATTCCTCAAAATTTCTTATTTAAATTATGAATTTGAAGTTTCACAAAAGGGTTTATTTTAAAAATAGCTGCTATTTGGCTTAACTAGCCAACCCAGATGCAAAATAATTGTTCTTCAAAACAGTTTTTAGTCTCGGGAATAAGGTTTATCTATCAAGTATTATCTAATCACAACAGCAGGACAAGGATGTAAATTCCATTCCATTCAATTCAATTATTCTAAACCTTCCCTGAAGTCTAGTGATAAAAATTTAAATGGAGGCTGCTAGAAGTGGTCCCATACATCATTCTCAAAAACAGCACAACTGTAGAAAGCATGGAGGGGAATGAAAATTAACACTTCTTTATCCTTCTAAAACTTCTCCTTTTGCTAAGGCATCAAGGATTAACTTTTTAATTTGTCTGACAATTTGGAATTTCAATTGCATTTGCCAAAAATATATCCTGTTTAACAAGTGGTTACTTGTCATTTCAAAACTCAGTCTGGTCGAGCAATATTAGAAACTCAGATATCTACATAATTCATTTACTCTCTCAAACATGGCATATTAAAACATATAAATAGCTTCACAAATGTTTACTGGACTTAAAACATGTTTAGTCCGTATTTCCTCCTGGTTTATGCTGCAACTGTACCAGGTCCACTTACTTCTCTTTGAATCTTCTTCATTCTTTCAAACAAGCAAGGGGCTAGAAAACATGTAAAAATGCCGTGGATGCAATCAAGTTTGCCATTCCAAAGCCAGAAAGCTTTGGTTTTCATTTCCCCTAGGGTGAGGCACGCACAGCAGTCACGATAATTTTAAAAGACAGCGGTAACTCAGCTGTTCTCTCTCTGATTCAAGGAGTTGAACACAAAGGCAATTTTGTATTGGTGAAGCTCTTACCTCTTCTTCTTGGTGATAATGAGGACATCATTAAAGAGGAAGAAGTACACCTGCTGTTTGGAAGTTCTTTTAGAAAAAAGTCCAGTGTCTTCTACATATGCTGTTAATTCGCCCCTTTTCACTAACCATCGTGAAGAAGAAACCAATGGAAATGGCTACAAAGCAAGAAAGTAACATTTTAATCCTTGAAAAGTAGAGACTTTTTAAAAAAAAAACAGGTAACAGTATTATGTATTTGGGAAAAAAAATGCTTGAATAAACTCAAAGCTCAGAGATTGTAAGTACAAGCACAAAACAGAGGTTATCAAGGTTTAAGGTATCTTCATCATTCACACATACACAAGTAATAGCCTGCAAATACCTGAAAATCACTCATGCGCATGACCTGATTGCTCCTCTAAGATAAAAATGAACAGACTTGATTGGTCATACTTGGGATGGAACAGACTATGCGAGATCTCCTAAGGAGATTAAAAATAAAAAGACTGTCTTCCAGGAATATGTAAATTTTTGTAGAGTAAGCACATATGAACATTGGATTTTCCTCTAGGTACCTCACAGCTTTTCTGCCTAAACAGTTGGAAAGAAGAGCTTCAGCTTCTCCTCTCAGATGTGAGGGCTACTGCACACGGCATTTCATCACATCCCTAAGGCCAGTTAAAATGATGCCATGCCTTCTTTCTGATAGTGTGCTCTGTACCACGCTCAGAATTAGAAAATGTAAAATCCTTTAACAGAGAAATACATGTATGATCCACTTTGAACTATTCTGTGAGTATATGAAAACAGACATAAAGAGATGATGAAGACAGCATACAAAATTAGTACCGAACGTTCAGAGTATGCAGACCTTTTTTCCATGAAAAAGCACAGTACGTGAGGAATGCCAGAAGGCTTACCAATCAAATGTGGTAAAATCCATTTTCTACTCTATAAGTAAATGAAGTTCCAACACAGCTCTGTGAAAGAATGTGTAAAGCAGTATGTAATATGTCGGGTTTGAATTAGTTGTCCATTTTAATGCTAAAACAATATCGTTTGCTCATGACATCATAAATTCACCAGTGGTCTGAAAGTTTTTAGAGGACATCTCTTTAGGTATCCACTTACGAAAGGCCATATTAATAAATAAGTGTCCTTCCTCAGGATGAACTTCAGCTTCCCCCACTCCGTCTTCCATTTTGTCAGAAAAGGTGACTGTTCTATTTGACCACAGTTGCTTTGTAATTTGCCACTGCAGCTGAAGGGGACAGGCTGCTCCAGGCATGCTGCTGTAACGAGGCGTGGACTTGAGCTCGTGAGAGCACCCTCTCAGACCAGACGTGACAACTCACTGAGCACATCTCACTGGTTCCAGGAAAAGTCAGTCAGGTTTGCATAAACCTTCACCCCTCCATTTATGAGGCATAGGTAGAATCATTCTTCCAAGGTAATTACCATACCAAACCACTTAACATTTCTTCCCTTGATAGCAGGAAGGGAAGTCTTCCAAGTACTTGCTATTCTCATTAGAAGCTCCTGAAACATCATACAGTTATCTGTCCACTGTCACAGCTTTATCTAAGATGGATAACTAAGGATACTGTTATAGCTCCTCCTACTCTTTATCTAGTTGATGTAGTTGAACTCTAATCTGTGGAGCAGGATCTCCATTTCTCTCTAGGGTGAGGACCAACACCTGCAACAGCTGAAGCAAGCCAAAGAGGATCATAGCTGCCTAATGTGAAGATCAGGCTTTATTAATCCAAATTATTCCCAACTGCAGGAGAAATAGACACCATAGAAGGACCTTTTGTTTCTCTGGGCCACGAACATGAAGGGAGATGTAAGACTGCACGTCCTGGTCATACAGAGAACAGATCATCTCTGAAGCTGTACCATGACATACGATGCCAGAAAGACAAAGGTCCATTGCAGTGCTGGCAGCTGTCCCACTGACCAGGATTCCTCAGTCAATGAGCTCACCGACTTGCTAGCCCTGAACCGAGCAGAGCTGCTATGTGGGAACATTTCTTCAATGGCACACAGTGGACAGGTTCCTTCTGCTAGACTGTGCTGACACTAGGCAATAGTGTAAGCAAAGATACTGACGCTTCACACCTAACCACTGGAATGACCTGTTTGGGTCCCAACTCCAGTGCTGAAGATGCTGGTACTTCTGTCTCTGCACACCTTTGGTATTGCCCATGTGCTGGATAGAGCATCTAAAGATGCCTGGTACCTTCTCCCCGCTGGTACCAACAAGGATTAGGCTCAGTGGGTAACTTCTGCAAGCAAAGCCTGAGCTGTGCAACCTGTACAGGTTCTCCAGCAGCAGGTATATGATACCACTGGAAAAGAAGAGGCATCCACTTTGCCCACTGTCCTGGTTTCAGCTGGGACAGAGTTAATTTTCTTCCTGTAGCTGGTATAGTGCTGTGTTTTGGATTTAGTATGAGAATAATGTTGATAACACACTGATGTTTTAGTTGTTGCTAAGCAGTGTTTACGCTAGTCAAGGACTTTTCACCTTCCCATGCTCTGCTGCGGGCACAAGGAGCTGGGAGGGAGCACAGCCAGGACAGCTGACCCAACTGGCCAATGTGGTATTCCACACCATATGGAATGCACAGCATATAAACTGGGGGAGGGGGCTGGG